TTTCACTTAGCAACATGCATTTAAGATTCATCATGTCTTTTCATGACTCCATAGCTTATTTTTATAGCTGAATACTATTCCATTGTATGGATGTATCACAATTTCATTTTTCAGATTTTCTCACAGTCTATGGCTTATCTTTGGTTCTCTTAACAGTGTCTTTCACAAAGCAGGAGTTTTTAATTTTAATAAAGTCCAATGTATTAACTTTTTCTTTAATGAATAATCCTTTTGGTGTATCCAAAAACTCATCACCAAACCCAAGGGAATCTAGGTTTTCTTCTACATAATCTTATAGAACATTTATAGTTTCACATTTTAAATCTATGTCTATGATCCATTTGTAGTTTATTTTTGTGAAATGTGTAAGGTTTTACTTATGTTCCAGAATCGTTTGTTGAAAATGCTATCCTCTCTCCATTTAATTGGCTTTACCCCTTTGTCAAAGATTAATTGGCTGTATTTGTGTGGCTCTATTTCTGGGCACTTTATTCTGTTCCACTGATTTATATGTCTATTCCTTTGCCAATGTCATGCTGTCTTGATTACTATAGCTTTATGTTAAATCTTGAAATAGGGTATTGGGATTCCTTCAACTTTGTTCTTCTTTAGTATTTTGTTGGCTATTTTAGGTCTTTTGCTTTCCTACATAAACTTTAGAATCAGTTTACTTATGTATACAAAATAGCTTCCTAGAACTTTGATTGGGATTGCACTGAGTCTATAGATGAAGTTTGGAGGAACTGACATCTTAATACTACTGAATCTTCCAATCCATGAACACAGAATATCTCTCTATTTATTTAGGCTTTCCTTGATTTTTTCCATCATAGTTTTATAGTTTCCCACATAGAGATCTTGTACCTATTTTGTTAGATTTCATTTCTTTTTTTGGGGGGTGCTACTATAAACTTATTGCTTTTTTATATTTTTCATTGCTGACATATAGGAAAGTAATTGACTTTTGTATATTAACCTTGTATCCCATGACTTTGCTATGCTCACTTAATAGTTCCAGAATTTTTTGTTGTGTTGTTATTCTTTGAGATTTTCCAGCATATCATCCACAAATAGACAGTTTCTTTTCTATCTTCCTAATTTTATATCTTTTATTTCCTTTTTTATTTTATTGCACTAGCTAGAATCTTTACTACGATGTTAGATAGAAGTAGTCAGAGAAGACGTCTTTGCTTTGTGCCTGATTTTAGGGGGAAAGCATCCAATTTCCCACTATTATGATATTAGCTGTAGGGTTTTTTAGATGTTCTTTTTCCGGTTAAGGGAGTTTTCTTCTATTCCTGTAATACACATGTTTCATATTTTTTCAAAATTTCTTTTTCAAGTTCTGATAGTTCTGTTTGTGATGTTTCCTGACTTTTATTCATAGCTGATGATTTCCTTTTGTGCTTCATAGTTTTGATGATGATTGTTTTGTTTATTTTCCTGTGGAATTCCTCCTGTCTTCTGTTTATAAAAATGCACCTGCCTAGGATGGCAAAGTCTAGGATGCCAATCACTGAATTCACTTAAATATGTTGATTTCCTGAGTAGAATTTGAAAGAAATTAATTAGCTCACTCTTTAATATTCTTTTAAAATCATCTTCTATCATTCCGTACACCTAGGAAACAAAGTTGGGAAGTCAATAGGAGAGCTGAATTCAGTTTTCTAATTAGTTTTTTGACTAATAATGCAATCATGGCCAGTTTCTTTAATTCCAACATTTTTTAATTCTACTATTTTTTAATATAAAATTTAAGATTGTAACATTCACCATTGATTTTTACTCACAGGGGTTTAGAGAAGACTCAATACCTTTATATTATCAAGTTTGTGAACTCCTGGAATAGTGTTACGAACAGACTCTAAGGTGATCTCCTGGTCCCCATCTCCTGATATTCATGCCTTTGTGTAATCCCTGCTTCTTGAGTATAAGACCTGTGACTTGTTTCTAACAAACAAAAAATGGCACGGTTGATAGGTTATCAGCCCCATGATTATGTTCTGCTACATGGCAAAGGTGATGGGATGCCATATCCATGATTATGTTACATTATATGGTCAAAGTGATGGGAAGTCACTTCAGTAGTTATGTTATGTTATATGGCAAAGTAATAAGAAGTCTTTCCTGAGATTACATTGCATTATTTAAGACTATCTTGTTTGCAGCCTCTCTCTTTTTCTTTTTTTTTTTTTTGTCTTTTTTTTTTCGTGTCCGGCAACGGATCGCAACCCTCAGTGTTGCCCCCGTACCGGACCGGGGACCGGCAACGGGACTGCAACCCTCGGCGCTGCCCCCGCGCCTCGCTCAGCCAGTGAGCGGGAACCGGTCTGCATGCGGGATCCGAACCCTCGGGCGGGAGTGCCGCGGCGCTTCCCAAGCGGCACACTTACCCAGTGCGCCACCGGGCCGGCCCAGCCTCTCTCTTTTTCTCCATTGCTGGCTATGAAGAAGCAAGGTTCCATGACTCATATGGCCTCAAGGAATGACTCTAACAACAACCTAAGGGAGCTTAAAAGTGGATCCCTCCCCAGTCAAGCCTCCAGGTGAAAATTCAATTCTGGGCAACACCTTAATTGCAGCTTTGTATGATCCTGAGTAGACCCAGCTAAACTGTGCCAAGACTTCTGACCCACAGAAACTTTGAAATGATAAATATATTTTAAGCTTCTAAAGTTGTAGTGATTTGCTTAGCAACGTTAGAAAACTAACTTAAGTATAAAGCCTCAATTAAGGAAGTAGTACCTTTTAAGGGCCTCAAAAAAGTGTAGAAAGATCACCCAGGTTTAAAAAAAAATTGCTTTTAAGACAACCGTTTCATTTAAGGTAGAGAGAGAGAAGGAGAGAAAGCTCTGACACTGAAGTAGCATTCTTTATTTCAGAAAGACTTCAAATTTTGACTTTATAATCCATATTATAAGGAAATGGATATAAAGAACATTTTTATCATTTTAAGGGCTCAATATAGTTAAGTATCATTATTATTATTACTAGTATACTTAGTTTGTATACATTCATAAATACTTATACTTTATGAACAGTACACACAAACTGTGTCCAAGATTGATTCCTTCAGTTCAAAGTGGGATTTTTAATATTGTTTGTACCATGCACCTAAGATATAAAAGTATTGCAAAGTAGAAAGTGATAAATAAAAGTACATTTCAGAATACATATTTTCAACCTGTTTGACATGCTTGATTTAAATTTAGTTTATCAAATGACATTCTAGAAAAATGCATTTTAACAACAAATTGTGAACTAATTTAATTCACAAATATTACATACTTGGCAACTTTTAGGTTAAAAAAAAAAAAGAACACACTTTAATTCTTTTCCCATCAAATTTCATCAAAGTGAGACACTGTGTACCAGAAGTTTCTTCTAAAGCCCCACTGAGGTCAGACCCAGTGTGAAAAGCTATGCTGTGATGAAATTTACCCACATTTCCACCAAGCAATCACTAGTTTTCTCATAGCTTGTGAACACACAAAACATGACATACCCTTCCTTCCTGTACCTTGGTTAACCAGTGTTTTTCCCCTTTCCCAGAACATATCTAACTCTTGACTTCATTTCTTAATATAGACTAAAGTGATACTTGATCTGTCCTTTCCCCGTCCTCTTTGTGTGTTTGATGTTTACTGTCATACAGAAGTATTACACTTCTGTATTAAAGCCACAAGAAAAGCAGGTGACCCATGGTCTTCTTTCCCAGATAACATCTAGTAGTTCTCAATGCATTTTTTCATATTAGAGAAGCTATTAGAGTCATCTCTTCTCAAATAAATGTGATATTTCTTTCGCCAGACTTTGTTTGAAATACAATTAAAGAAAATACTGCATTCATGTAAGCAAATCTTTAACGTGATAATTCTAGACTATGATGAGAAATAAGCAATACCAACTGAATCATAACTGGTTTGCAAGCTCTTGTTGAAAATAAATGCATTGCTAACCATGTAGGTATTAATGGGCCTCTATCTGAAAACTTGCTTGTGGAGGCCAGGAGAAAGAGTCACCCCAAATATTTGTTGGTTTTCCTATTTACCAAAGACTATGTATTTGTCTATACAGTATTTACAATTCTGCATTTTAAGTATTCCTGTCAGGTGGAATAAAAAGTATTGTGGTGAAAACTATACCACACCAGAACTCTTTTGAGTAAACAATATCTAGACAAAGAGGACAGGCTAAAGCCAGGAAGAACTGGCTTCCAATTACAGCCCTGCTGCTGACTAACCATGAAGCCATGGGAATGTCTCTGAAGTCCTGCCTTCTCATCTATGTGCCTAACACCTACTATTGAGTAATTGCGGGTCTCTCATGTAAAGCAACTTTAGCTTACTAGGCATTCAGTAAATGGTAGATGGGACTGCTATTGTTCCCGTGAAAGTTGCTACACGCTGCCTTTCAATTGAATGACTCTCAGACCGAGCCCACTGGATGTTTCTGAGTTTAAAGAGTTAACAGAAAGCTCGTAACAACTGGAAATCTTTTTGTGTTTGTTTTATTTTATTATTTATTTCTTACTGTACAAGCTTCCTTACCATACCCTCTTTTTTCTCAAAATGAATCATCTCTTAAATTAGTTTACTTAAGTACAGCAGTTCCACTCAAAGTCAACTGTCTTTATTTCTCCCAAACACACACACACACACACACACACACACGCACACACGCACACACACATGCAGAGCTTAAAACTGGTAAGAACTATTTATTACATTGTCCAGGTTGTCTAATATAGGTAATGAGCAGCTGTGCAAGCAGAGCAGAGAAATCATAGACTTTAATGGATATTAAATAAAATACATGACTGAAAGGCTAGGAGTAATGTAAGATTAACCTAACTAATGGGCTAAGAACTATTTATTACATTGTCCAGGTTGTCTAATATAGGTAATGAGCAGCTGTGCAAGCAAAGCAGAGAAATCATAGACTTTAATGGATATTAAATAAAATACATGACTGAAAGGCTAGGAGTAATGTAAGATTAACCTAACTAATGGGCAAAAGAATGCTGCGGTGATAACTATTCAGGATATATAATACAAAGTGAGGAGCAATGTGAAAAAAAGATCTACAGGAAGAGAATACTTTCCTGGCTCTCACTTTTTGAGTTTTAGACATTTGTAGCAAAAATAATCACAAAGCTGTAGAATCCTGAGAGTTCTAGACTTTTCATCAATGTTCAGGCAATATAAAAGTTGAATCAGGCAAGAAGAATGAGATTCCCTCCCATTTTGTTTAGACTGCTTATAAAAAAGACCTTATAATCTCCTTCAGCACCCATCTCAGCCCACATCTTTCCATGGTTCTCGGGAAGCTTAACCTCTCACATTAACTCTTACGCTTTCTGCTTTATTTTCACTGTGGACAGGAGAAAAAGTGGTCATCTTTGTTTATAACACTTCATAGATCTGAACAGTAACATTCAATATTGTCTATTATTAAGCCTCCCCGCAGGCTACGGTTTTGTAACCTACCAATTAACCTATGGGAGGTAGTCTAGATTATGGTAGTCTGTCATTCCCTTATTCACACTTGACTCCAAAAAGTTCTCAATTTTTAACATGGATAATCTAGAAAATAAATACTATTTTTGCATTCACAGGCAGCATTAGAATGAGCAGGCACTTGAATTAGTTATATTATCCAACTTGTTACTTAATTTCCCTAATGTCCGTTTAGTACTTGAGCTGTTCTGATTGAAAAATGATTTAAGAAGCAAAAACAATGTTATAAAAGTTTAAATAAAGGTCACTGTTGCTGTGAAATAGGATGTCAGTTTCACAATTCCTGCGCACTTTCCCACCAAGCTAAGTGGAGTTGACCTACACAATTCTAGAGACATTTGTGAAATGAGCTAATCCGAAAGGCACCATAACCCGTCAAAAGCAACTCTCTTCCTCTTCCACGGCACGATGAAGACCAGGAATGAATTTCAACAGTTGCTTCCGGACGCTTCCCCTTTTGCTCTTTCGGGGCAGGGTCCCAAACATGCTTGAGAAGTTGCTCTCCCACAAGGGGGACATGGACCCACTGCTGGTGGTACTGATGCTGCGGTTTCTGCTCGAAGAAGACCTCCTCAGAAAGTCTTCCCCATCCTTGGGGACAAAGCACTCGTCGTCTGTGCTTGTTTGCCGGCTGAAGGTGCCCTTGCTCCAGTCCTCGGACACCGACGTCTGGTAGCCATCCTCACTGTCCATTGTCATGGAGCTCAGCCAGCTCTTACAGCTGCTCTCACTGGACAGTCGATTCCGGTCCATAAGGGCTGGGGCTGGCCCAGGCAGGGTTCCAAACAAGGACAAATCATCCGTGTCCATGTTTTCCAAGCTTGGGGAGTTAGCTGCATCACCTAGAACGCAGAGAACAAAGTCTGCTGTGGAATGGATCTGAAAGTCACTCTCTAGAAACAAGTACACCCAAATTTCTCTTGGAAGAACACAAGAAAGAGTAACGGTGAAAATATTTTTCACTGAACTTTGACTTGCATGAGTAAGTGACGGTTTATGAAGCCATTTGATAAACCTTATAGTAAGGTTTCCCAAACTGTTGTTCATGGACCAGGTTCCAAAGAAATGGCTCCATGGTCACATAAATTATAATATTAGAATGAATTTAAACAAGATGCTTCATATGAGAACAGTTCATTCCAACTGGCAGTGTGCCAGTGTGACTTGTGAATCTCCAAAATGATCATTTCTTAAACTTAACTGACCCTGGAGTCAGTTTTATTAAAATTCTCACAGAAATGGACTTCCAAAGAATATACTTGGGAAAATGCTGTTTTATGGATTTTCTCCATTTAGTTCCTCTGATTCTTACTGTATATTTTCTTTTAATAATTGGAAAATTTTTGTAAAATCATTTGCAATGTATGGGAAACTGTTATTCAAAAATATAGCATTTAAAGTTATTTATACCAAAAGGTTTTATGAAATCAAATATATCTTCCAGTATCAATATGCCTCAAGTATCATCTTGGAATACTTAAATGCTCTGAAATGGTACTGTATCCAGAAACCATCCCTGTCGTCAGATGAGTAATAATTTATTTGAAGAAACTAAATTTTACATTTGGCTGAATTTATTCATCAGCCCTCCTAACCTATTTTTGGGCCCTCCAGACTCAAATGTTAGTCACACACCAACATCCTGTCCCACTAGCTGAGTTGGTTGGTATGCTGCTAAAAGAAAAGACAATACTTGTAACACCAGCCTGAGAAAAACATAATTCGAAGGTGATTCTGCTTCAGGAAAAGTAATAGAACACTGTACACTCAGAAATGGTTCTATTAACTTTACTGCTTCTGTCCTTTGACCTTGGTTGACAATATAAAAAGAAACTTTTATTTTTACATTTGATTTGCAAGGTTAAGCATGGTCAGCCTGCAGTGGCTAGTCATTATGCTTTTCTCTTTGCTAATACATCCTACTTCATTTCATCTTGCAATGAACTAATGAATTTCTTCCGACTGGAGAGCAATTGCCTTATAGAATGTCATGCCCCGAATGTTTACTGTAGGTCTAGAAAAAGCAGACTAGAGAACTCCCTCAATCTCTCAAAAAATGTGTATGCAACGACCTTATGGGGATTCTGACCCAAGGATCTTGTCCATACAAGGCCATTACCATAGTACCCCACAACTGCCTATATTCACTAGGCCATTCAGGATGCTCCAGAAGTGGAGGCAAAGGCTTCTCAAACACCCTCATGAAAACAGAAAGCTAGGAGGTGGCAGAATTAACAAGAATGAAAACAAGTTCTTGAATCTCTGTCTCTCTACCAAATCTCAGACCCCCAAAATAAATACCTATATGAATTTTTAAAAAACTTTTAACTTAAAAACATTAAAAGAGAGAGAGAGAGAGAGAGAGAAGTAACTTGTATGTAAGTTTCAAACACTTCTATTAAAAAAAAAAAAAAAAAAACAGAACTTTAACCCAAACCTCTAAGATGTAAATTAGTGCCTAATTAAGGATTAAATCGTATTCTTTTCTGTAAACAAATGGATTATCACTTTTGGGGGGAAGGGATTATCATTTTTAATAGATTTTCTAGGTTATAAATAGAGACTTAGCTCAGTGTTATCTAAACAAAACATAACCTTTATTTCACACCCACATAACTAGTGTTTTCAATGAATTATTTGTACAGAAAGGTTCATTCCTTGGGTTACATCAGTCACACAACAAACAGCAAATCAACAAATTTCAAACTCAACCTTCTCTTCAGATTGCATATAATGGCAAGAGTTATGTATTTACTGTTATGATAATCTTATACATTTCTGTCTTGGTCTTGGGAACCATGAACAAAGATTTCTCTGCATAAATGTAACTTACACAATTTGCACAAATGATGGGAGCTACCCAGGAAGCTCACAACTATTCCAGCTTCAATAGTAGTTCTGAGAACTACACAGCCCCTGAGCCATGATTGCAGGAATTTAATTCATTTGCTGAAATAATAGGAAAATCAAGCAATCTTTCCTACTGCTCTTCAAAAATCCCCAGGTGCCTACTATGAGCATGTGTATTGCTATGTGTACGGAGAAGAGGGTATGTGTTGACTTATTCTTCCTCCAAATACATAGATCAGTCCAAAGTTCATGCCAAAGAAACACAGACTAGTATCATTGATGGGTGTTAGACATATTTTTCTTGTAGTGATGCTAATCTTAAAACAACTTAGAGGCAGAAATGCTGCAAGGGTGAAATGTTAGTGTGGTTTCAGAACAGGAAATCGCATTTACCATGAAGCAGGCGCTGTTCCTGTAACTGCAGAGATCTGTACTCCACCCATTTTTCCTTCAAAGTTTGCTGTGAGAAAGAAGAAAAAAGTGATAATTATTAGGAAACCGTAGCAAAAATAGCAATTTATTTCTAGGTATTGAGATTTGTCATTAAAAATGTTTTCTTTCTTTCTAGCACTACCAACCCCTTCCGTTCATTTAAAAGATTTTTGCTGTATAAAAGGAGAATATAGGAAATGCTACTTTCTTAAGAAATAGCCCAGTAGCACCAAACAGTTTTGTTTTAAAAACCAAGAAAAACAATAAAATGTGTATATTTTTATTTTTGAAAATATAGAACCAGATTGTTTGGGTTTGTAAGAACTTAGTAGCTGTTTAGACAGGATCTACACTCTAGGATTCCCCAGCTGCAGGATGAAGACAATAATGGAACCTAAACCCTGGGATTGTCATACAGATTAAATGAGTTAATAGATATAAAATGCTTCCAGCATCGACTAGAACTTAGTAAACACTCAACACATATCATCAACCTATAAACCAGCGCCCCTTTTCTGCTGGACATCTATTTATTTTTCACGACAAAAAGGAGAACAAACCTGATCTGAAATGCTCCCTTGGAGGGCTAAACTTAGAGCACTGTTGAGCACCCTGATTTTTTAACTGCTTCCTTCCCTGGCTGCCCCAGCACACAACAGCAGTGGCCCACCATGGGAAAGAAGTGGCTGCTGCAATTGTCAGGACAGCAGGCAAGGCCTGGCCTAGCCCACGGAGGGGCTGCGGGAATGGAAACAGAAAGCAAACCAGGCAGAGGCACCTGGCAAGACAGTCACTGGCTCATCCTCTTCCCTGTTCCTTGTCCTCTACTCCACGCCTTTGCCATGTCTGGCTCCTATAGCAAGCCCAGCAGGTGCACACAGCTCAGATTTGCCTGTGGACACTTATCCTAAGGAAGGGAAAGAAAGCCTAGTTGGAAACAAGCAGTCCTTTGTATGAAGTAATCTAGAAGGAGCTGACGAAGGCTAAGAAAGAAGAGAAAAAACTACATTTGGTAGAAAAAAGGCCTAAGAAAAAGAAAGCAATAAAATTACATGAACTTCATTAAATGCTTAAGGGGAACATGCCTCGCTCCTCCGTCTTCAGGGACTGAACAATAACTAGCTGGGATTTTCTAATCCCCGATAACAGTAACATTTAACAGCAATCCTTATGGTTGCCAATATAATATGCAAGCAATAAATTAAAGCAATGAAATGCTTGGCTCAGTTAATTTCTTGTTTTTTCTGTACTATAATATAGTGTATAATGGCTATAAGACTGCTGGGCTGCCTGACTCACACCTCTTATTACCTGTGCAAACCTGTGGTTGCGTGAAGGTCAGAATTAGGGATCCAGAGAATATAAGACTAGCAAGGTTCTGGCATATATAAAAACTCCTTTCTTTTTTAAAGAGATTTTATTTCCTACAAGAGAATAGAGTCCAGTAGAAAAGCATAAGGATAGGTTGACAGTCAAAACTAAATATAGAAAGAAGAGGAAATTATATTTCTGCACTGACTATGCAAAAATACAAAGTCGCAGCTTGCCAAATAGTTAATTTTTGTGAAAATAAAGGTCTTAAAATATCTAATTTGTTCATTTGACCCAGTCATTATAAGTATGTCATCACCAAAACCAAGAAAATACCAGTGTAAAGAGCAGAGGTGTCAAAGTGACTAAGAGTTTTCAGTCTGTAACCAAGCTTCCCTATTTTCCTCAGGGTCTGTTTCTGCCTGTGTTATTGACATCACAATTGTATCTCTGAACAAATCTAAACTCTCACGGTTAGATGAGAATTAAAGGATATGTGAGCTCTAAACATACTGGGCCATACCACCTCATTGGGCCTACTCCATGTCTGAGATGGCTCAGTAAATATTGGTTGAATGAATACATGAAAGAATGGATTCCGGAGACAACCCTAAACTATCACATCTTAGATTGGCTCCAAATATATTCCCAGTGTACAGGAAACATACAGCTAAACATTTCCATGACACATTAGTACTTTCATTGTGCTTTCACAGATATGTTATTTAATTTTCATATCTTCACTAAAAATTCAGATTAGAAGATAAAGTTTCAATGTAACAAAATATTTCTCAAGGGCTATAAACCCAGTGGATAGCAGAACTAGATCAGAAACTAGCTCTCCCAGCTAGCCCATTGGATGTGCTGTTTTCACGTTAAACATTTGAATCATAGGTCAGGAGAAAGGGAATCCCTGAAAACATGCCTCAGAAAAGATCACTGTTTCTAAAGAGTTTTTGTCCCCACAAGAGTCTTGAGGAACAGAATACTCACTTACATATGATGCACAAAGTAAATGTCATTGTTTGGAGGGGAAGCCAGCCTGACCTTGGTTACAGGTCAGAACCAAACATTCCTAGCTTAAGAGATGTACTGGAAATCTCACAGTTTCAAGATTAGAAATGGGACAGAAATGCAAGATGGTAAGCAGGAACCCAAAGATTTGCTGGATCTGGAGAAGCAGAAAGAGGTAGCTAGAAATTTGGATCCTATGACAATATGTGGCTTAAATTCACCTCTCTGAGGCAAAGGACGGGGCCAAGGTTCCTGCTTGAGAAAAGAACCTTGACTGAAGCTCTGCCACTGGGAAAAGGAGGCTGAGAAAAGCTGCTGCTGATGGCTATGGCTCATGTAGATCTTGTATCCAGGAGTATGTAAGTATAGCCTCATGACCTGAGCTAAGCAGTGCATTGACTCTCCAGGCAAAGCATCTAAGCTGCCAGACATTGCTCTGGATTTGGAAACTTGAAGTGCTGAGTGGAAGCAACTATCCAACCATCACATGAGCAGAAGGGAGAGGCTACCACCCAAAGGACGTAGGCAACCTAAACTCCAAAACACCCACAGATGCTTAATGGTAAGAAAGATAGTAAAACTGATAATCACTACATGGATTCTGTCCAAGCAAAATAAAAATAGAAAAGTATCCAAAGAAGACTTGAAAATAAGAATAATTATAATTCTCTAAGCAATAAATGAGATCAAAGTTCATAAGAGCAAGAAATTTGAAACAAAGAAATAAAAGAACAGATAGATATGAAAAAGAACTACCTGACAATAAAAAACAATTAGTTTTAAAAACTCAATAGAAAGAACACATTCTATACAAAACACAGATAACAAGAATATTACTGAAGATATTACTAAAGAATTCAAAAAGGCCATAACACAAAATAGTAATGTGATATAAAATATGAAATAGTAATTAGGAAGCATGGAAGATAAATCAAGAGACTCTAAAATATATCTAATAGGAATTCCAGAAGATAATACAGGGAGTGGTGAAGGTGTACTCAAAGAGACTGAGCTGATAGCTTTCCAAAACTGAAAAAAGGGGCCGGCCCGTGGCTCACTCGGGAGAGTGCGGTGCTGACAACACCGAGGCCACAGGTTTGGATCCCATAAGGGGCCGGCCCGTGGCTCACTCGGGAGAGTGTGGTGCTGACAACACCAAGGCCACGGGTTTGGATCCCATAATAGGGATGGCCGGTTTGCTCACTGGGTGAGCGTGGTGCTGACAACACCAAGTCAAGGGTTAAGATCCCCTTACCAGTCCCCTTTAAAAAAAAAAAAAGAAAGTCACAAGTCTTTAGATCAAAAGAGCACTACAAGGTCTAAGCAGTATAAATTTAGAAATTAATCCAGACCTAATTACACTGTGATGAAACTGTAGATCGATAAAGACAAAAAGAGCATCTTTAAAACAACCAGAAAAAAAAAAATAAAAGATTGCAACAAATCCAAATACTGGTTTTTCAAAAGATTAAAAAATAGAAAATACTCTAGAGAGAATAATCAAGAAAATAGAGGGAAAGCATAAAAGAAGTACAAATAAAAATGTAGACATAGCAGTTATGACAGAAATTTAAAAATGAGACCAAAATTTTTATTATCAACTTCATGCAATAAATTTGAAAATTTGAAGGAAAGTAAGCCCAAAGGTAAGGAGTAGAATGCAAAAAACAACAGCAAGCACATCATTTCTACATGCTGGTGTATTTGTTCACTACCAACTATATAGAACAAAAACCTATATTTTGTAATTATCAAAAATGGATAAAATTCTCTAAAGTAAGCAAGAATAGGGAATACGGGCTCCTAACTGAACATTTAAAGTATGTTAAGGTGCTCATGATGTTTCAGAAGAGGATGGAGATATGTAAAAAAAAATCGTACATTGCTAGAAAAAATAATAAAGTATGTACATTAAAACTTCAGGAGAGAACACTCAAAAAATAGAAATTGCTTAGAAGCATGAAATAATGTTTTGTGCAAATGAATACTTTATCCCATGAAATATAAACCTATTTTTTCACTCTTGTTTTAAATAAGATCACTATGTTATTTTCTATATTTCTTTCTTTTTTGCTCCGAAAGGCTGAAAAATTAGTTTAACTTTTTAAAGAAGTTGTTCACTAAGACTTCTCTGTTTTGCAAAAGAAATTAATTATGACAGTTTAAAAAATCTAAATATGATATGAAGCACTGTTTACTCCTTATAAAAAGTAATGACAAAATGTTAGAAGTGGTCCCTTTAAAGTGAAGAATAAAACTATCACTATTTTCAATATACTGACGATCCTAGTCAATGCTATAAGAGAAGAAAAATAAATTAGTTAAATAATTTGGATAAATAAGCAAAACCTTTATTATCTGCAGATGATATGATGTCTATGTAGAAAATCTAAGGAAATCCTCGAAATTATTAAAATAAAGCGAGTTCAGCAAGACCAGAGGACTTAAAAATTCATGCAAAAATCAAAAGCAAAAAATAGTAGAAAAATTAAAAGATTAGATTTATCATTAGCTAGAAAAATTATAAAGTACATAATAATAAGTATAATAGGAGATATGTAAAAATGTATAAACTTTAGAAAATATTTTTGAATTAAACAAAAGACCTGAATAAAAAGATTGAGATCCTGAATTCAAAGTGAAATAAATGAAAGCCATAAAGATTTCAATTAATCTCATTTATTTTATAAATGCAATTCAATTTTTATCAAAATCTCAGCAGAGTTTTTTTTCAAGTATCTTTACAAAGTGAGTAAAAAAATCACAGGGATAAACAAAGTGGCAAGAGTATTAAAATCAATGTTGGTGAAGAAGAAAACAGGTCTTGATGAACTGGATGTGGGGGAAGGGAAGGATGCAAGATAAAATAGTATATAAAGGAAGGATACAAAATAAAACCCACCTTCTTAGGCTCAATAGTTAATAAGTGCATACTTCCTGAATAAAACTAATAAATGGCAGCTTTTTCTAAACAAAGCCCAAATAAGCAATTTGTCTACAGTAAGCCATGTGATCTCTGCTCAGATTGGCTACCTCATTGCCATGCAGCAGGGAGCAATAGGATAGAGAGGTTACCTGGGGCCAAGGGAGGGGGTCAGCCAAGCTATGACTCAGATGTACATGAGTGAGGGTCCGGACTGCATGGCTTGGGAAACCTTAACCAGCCCAGAAAACTGAGATTTTTTTAAGACCTTCAAAGAACCATCCCAGGGAATTTTCACTGAACATCCTGCACTATGTACAGTCTCATGGAAACTTTGATTTTTTTTTTTCTCTTTCAAAATTAATAGTGTGTTTGCCAATGAAAGCAGATTCAAGGAGAACCACAGGATTAGAGGGCGATGGTCTTTGTTTTAAGAATAAAGCAGAATGGAAGGACACAAAGTAGAACACTGAAAAAGCCCTCCAGCACATTCATGCAACACTTGGGAAAGTGATAAAAAAGACTAGCACCTCTTTTTTTGTTTTTTTTTCCCCAAATAAAATGTAAATCGAGGGAGATCACAGGTGCATTACTGAAAAGTTCTTTAAGACCCCTTCATTAATGATGTGCCTTCCTGTTGCCTCTCTGAGACTCGTAGACACACATAAGGAGGAAGGAAGAAAGTGATTTATGCTGGGTTTCCGGAATTTGATATTCCTGCAAAGGTAATTGTGTGGCTCTTGATAATTCAGCAGTTTAGATTCATCATGACATTTCATCTTCAAGGACTATCTCAATTCCTCAAATAGAGCTTTATTCTACCAATCACACATTCAAAGATGAAAAATGTGGCTCACTGAATTAAATTAAATTACCTTTAAAACCTGCAGCTTTGCTTCAAGCTCTGTTCTTTTGAGAATAGTTGTTCCATTAAGAGTCTCTATCCTGTTTTAAGAAAAAAAAAAGGTGGAGGTAAATAGCATGAGTGATTCATTTAAATAAGTACCATCCTTATGGAGTACTACATTTTGAGCACAGACTATACTAAAAACGCAACATAAACATTACAATTCTCACAGCACTTTAAGTATCTGGACCTACGCCAAGTCTCTGACAACATTCAGAGAAAGAAAATGGGAAAAATATTTCCCTTGAGAGGGTGGCTGAAAGAAAAGATCCTGGTTAATTTGTAACTGTAGCTCATTTTATAGAAGCCACTTTATGATGGTTGCTCTCTAACAGAATCTATTCTTGTGGGGACCAGCAGAATCACCTCATTTATTCGGTGAGTATTTACTGGGCATCTACTATGTGCCAGGCTCTAGACACTGTGCTAAGTACAAGGGGTACAACAAAAACAATACGCACTAGGGACTTTCACAAGAGTAGAACCAACATGCTATTTCTTGAAACAGAGAGAAATCCTTTCCTTCCTAGAATTCTGGGAGTCTTTACCTCTGCAAATTGCCTTATAATTTTGGAGCTAGAATAAGCAGAAGCAGAACTACTATAAGATAATTACCATCATATGGTTCTTTCATTTCAAAACCTTTAGTTTATAAACTTTAATCCTAGAATTATCAGCTTAGTGTTATTTTCTTCCTACATCAAATGCTTCTCTAAAAATAAGACTTGTTCTATCCTGAGTAATTTGATTTGTTTTGTGCACTCAGCCTTTATTTTGACTACTAAACCATCCATCTGAATATAATATATTTTATTTGTGAATCACACACCTAAGCATTTTTAAAGTGCTGGTTCAAATTCCTTCTGATTACTAAACTATAAATATTCATAAAGATGCAAGAAATTTGTTAAGGCATAATAAAACCATTAAATGTAAAGACAAACTTTCTTCTATTTCTAATAGCATCACACCGAAGATAGTGAGATGATAGCAAGCCAAATGCTGTCTGCTTTCTCATTAAGGCAGTCTTGACGCTGTGGGCAATAGTGGGGATCCCTAAGAATGTGTTTCATGGGAACTTTTAACGTTGATCTGACCTGCCCAAGCAATAGACATGTTAAACCAAAAATATAGGCACGGATTGGCCACTTTCTTCACTATTTGTAGACTGTCTCCCATTTTCCTGATCTCTGGATTTCCAGCAATTATCTTCATCTACTACCCTTTATTCACCTGTGGTCTGCCCACTTCATCCATATGGAAAATATTTCTCTGACTCTAACTGCAGCATTTTCTCTATGGTTCCCACCTTCTGGATCCAGGATTTTCTGAAGCAAGATTGTCTCTGTCCTTTACCCTGAACTCACAGGACCCACAGAGCTAGACTCAGTCCTCTACCTCCACCGGTCATCTTTTAAAACTACTCAGGCACACACACCCAAAACATCCTTTGAAGTTTTAGACTAAAATCACTGAAGGCCCTCCAACAGGTTTTCTATTGGCATCTCACAATGAGCAGCTGTAGCTGAAGAGAACAGATCCTGGTATCCAGAGCCGGTGGCCAACCCCAACCCTATTGCTTACATATTGGGTGACCTTAACTAAGTTGTCTTTAAACGTCAGGTGCTTCATCTATAAATAGGGATAAAACTAACCCCAGAAGGTGCCTGTGAAGAATGAATGGGATAATATAGGACCCACCTCAATCAGAATAAAATGTAAATTCCTTGTCATGGCTGATGAGACTGATGGTCTGCCCCTGGCCAACTTTCTGTCTTCATTTCTTATACTCTTTCTAATCTACCCAGTACATATTACACTGGCTTTCTCTCTGTCCCTTGGATGTGTCAATCCCATTTTGAGAACTCATAGACCTCTTCCTTTACCTGAAATGTCCTTGCCGGGAGTTCATATAACCATTCCCACACTTTATTTACATCTAAGCTCAAATTTCACCTCCTCGGAAAGGACTACTTTAAACATCTAAACTAAACTAGCAGCCCTCTTTCTCAAAGCTCTATCCCACTGCCTTATTTTACTTTCCTCTTAGCAGTTATCAGCAACTGAAATATAAAAGTTACTTATTTTTCAGGCTTTTCTTAGCCATCTCCTTCCACAATTATTAAAGCACTAAGAGAGTTCACCTTTGTCTTTCATGGGACTATCACAGAGCTGGAAACACAGTATTTATTCAAGAAATGCAATTTTATTAAATGAGCAAATTCCATCTTTTAACTACTTATTAAGGTCTTATGAGGTATTAGGAATGTTCTGGTGGAAAAGTCAGTCAAATCTGTCATTGAGGATATCGATGTCCCATTAATAAGCTTAGAATATCAGTCGGTGTGCCTGTGTGTGTTTTGAAGTGGGTAGGGCTGAGCAGACTTTGTCCTTCCTTCCAAATGGAAGTCTGGAAGAGAAAAATAACTAGCTTGTAGCATAAACGAAAAAACTCAGCCCTTCTGGCCTTTTATTTGTTCTAGCCACAAGATAATATCAACCATGGAAATTGGACCAGTTCCTCTCAGTCCGAAGAGAATATGTACCAGTTTAACTGAATTCGACATTTAAAAATATAATAATAATAAATACATTTTTAAATGCTTACCCCACCTCCCTCCCCCCATCCCCAGACATTTGGGCTATCCATATCCTCTGATTTCAGATGTTGACGATATGTTCAAGTCTGAGGAAACCTTGAGAAACAAAAGGAACTGATAAAAACATTTGTACCCAATCCCAAAGCTTTGGGGCACTCCCTCCCTTCTTGTGATCCCTGAACAAAAAGTCTATTCACTCACTCAACAGGCATTATGAGAGACCTTAACATTTTGGAAGCCCCACGGGAACTAGACGGATAGTTACGTTAGCAGGTTTCCTGACGATCTGATCAGGTCAACCACTTGTTTGTGAGTAAAACCTTCTGTGCTCACGCCATTGATATTTGCAAGGACATCACCTGGGAGATGCCAAGAAAAATGAGCGTTATATTGGTTCAATAATCCCTCCTGACACGCAAATGAAACAAAACAAGCAAGCTCCAAACCTTAGAAACATAAAGGAGCTCAGAATATTCAAAGCAATAATCACATCCTGATCTTCAGTATCAAAAAGGTTTCTTTTCTTTCTATTTAAATGACTCCTAACATGAGCAAAGTTATAAATTACCAGCTTGCAGGCCGGCACAGTGAGCCGGGCTGTCTTCTTCTACCTTGCAGATCAAAGTGCACATTTCTGAGGAGCAGGTGTTCTGGTTCTGGAGCCTGTAAGTCTATGAAAATTAAGGTGATACACAGTTACTATTCAAAAAAACTCAAAATCTATGTGTCAAAAGATAAAATTGTGCCAATTGCCATTAATCTGTATAATAGATAAGTGCAAAGGACAATTTGAAAATGCTTTTCTGACTATAAACTGAATCAAAGGTACCGATTTTGCAATTCTATCGATCTGCAGCCAACTCCATTTATAAAAAAAATCATCTGGCATGAGATATAAAGTGGGAGAGAGTGGCTCAAGATTTTATATTTTCAAGCCGAAGAGACCATCTGATGCTATTATCATTACATATTTATTAAGAAAAATTGAGTTTCTCATTTCCCAATGGGACAAAATAATGGTGGCCAAGAGCAAAGAGAAAAACCCCTATGTGATTCTGCTAAGTTAAAACCCTCATTACAGGAGGTAAGAAACAGTCCACATCCAGCAGGGGAGACACACCAACAATGATTATTTTAAATCAGAGTTCTAATAATGACAATCTGCCCTGCATTTATTCAAAAGTACTATAATTGGCTCAGTTACCTTCATTTCTGAGCACTCTCTGGAATGCCTGCCATGAGTTCTCACCAGTTCATTAATCACCCTGCTAAATTAGAAAAAGTTACGTTTCACCTCTTGCCTCAGCTTGGCACAAGTACTCTGGTGGTGGTGGTGGTTTGTTTGTTTGGTTTTTTGGGGTTTTTTTTCCAATTTGAACCACAAAGCTGAATAAATGTTTGCTAGATATAGTGTCCCAGTGACCTGTAACAGAATGCCTGCCATGAGTTCTCACCAGTTCATTAATCACCCTGCTAAATTAGAAAAAGTTACGCTTCACCTCTTGCCTCAGCTTGGCACAAGTACTCTGGTGGTGGTGGTGGTTTGTTTGTTTGGTTTTTTGGGGGTTTTTTTCCAATTTGAACCACAAAGCTGAATAAATGTTTGCTAGATATAGTGTCCCAGTGACCTGTAACATACATATTTTTCTCTCACACATTTAAGTGATGAGACCTAGTTCCACTAAGAATCAAAATTAATGTTCTGAGTTGTCTTTTAAACATCTGATTCCTAAAATTAAACCACATTACAGTACTGCTCTCTGTGGAAAAATTAATGTCTGATGTTCATTCCTTCTCATTTGATAATCCCTGAGGCACCACACGTCAGTCACGTGCAAGTAACTTTTAGAAACCAGCTTTCCTGCCAGGAGTCTTCTACGGCCCAGACTCTTCCAGAGATGGAGGCTGGTCTAGTTCGTGGAGTATAGGAACAAAAGACATAACTGACACTTCTTCGGGAAACCACCATTGTAACAATTCTCATTAGCAGTGAGAATCTACCCTCCATCTCCAGCGACCAAAGTGAGGACCATACAGGGGAAATGTGTTGATTTATGCAGCTGGAACCTGCATGCATGTTCACAATGGGTGTAAAATTTGGGGATCAGAGAAAGTGAGGAAAAGGCAGAAACTCCGAAGTTACAGTAAAACATAATTAGTCAGATACTTCTCTTTCTGTTACTCAGTCTCCTAGCTACTGTTACAGAAGCCAGTGACAGAATGATCACCTGCATTTCTTAGAGACACAAAGATCACATTATCCTTTCTCATACCCAGTGACCTTCAATCTAATAAGGCATGTTACTAAGTACTTTACATATGTTATTTCATTTAAAACTCCCAAAGACCCCATAAGGCATGAATTGAGAGAACATGCACTCAGCTGTGCATGAATTTAAAGTCTGTGTTCCTATCAAGTTGCATGGTTCTCATAAACAGCATAAAACTAGCACCCACAGAAAACCAGTGGGGAGGGTGGGTCTGGTCTCTTCCAAAGTGTCCCTTGTCTGGTAGGCAGGACCTAAATGTACATTCACAGTGTGCACAACATGGGCACATGAGGTTCTATCTGGTTTTCAAAAAGTTCCCAGAAGTATTTCCCCTATTTGTTGACTGCTGCAAATCTTATGAATACTAAAGAATGGATGATGTCATGGAGCTGGTAATGGGAAGCACACACAGAGTGAATTTGCAGGGCGTGGGTTCCTGCATCACTGAGATAACACAAACATGCTGCAACTCAGAAGTGAAGGAGTTATTAGCTCATGTTGATCCACTGAGGTTTAATGGTGCTCTGTGGCCTTTTGTCTACTGATGATAACTTTGACTCTTGCTCCATGTAGAATAAGTGCTCATGGTATGGGAGAGAAACAAAAGGAAGCACTGACATGTATTATAGCAGAGTAAAAAAAATAAAAAGAAGTGAGTAGTTATTTATCCTGTTTTCAGTAGCAAATGCTGCACATCCTTCAGGACAATTCTCATTTAAAAAGAAGTAGTCACAAAAAGCATTTCTATGACAGAATAGGGAGGATTTCATGTGAACAAGGAAAAGGAGAGAGTGCTATACTTCTAAAATCTTCTGGATTTTAGCAGTTATTGTGGTGAATTATAGATTTCACCAAATTTAAAGTAGAAGAGTTCACAAAGCAAAAGGTACCTTTTCTTCTGCAGCCTTCTCTCTGTTCATTGCAGCTAGAGTTCCATTTTGTTTCTTTCTCATAAAACATGTTTTACTTAGCAGCTTCCTGTTTCTAATCTTAAAATACACACTGACTTTCCAATTGTGGAGCTGATATCACACCAAAGTTTTCTGAAAGCAGCACCAAAGCTAAGATCTAAAATCTGATGTATACTATAAAAATAGGATTATGTAAAACACAGCTGAAAGAAATGCAAAAGAGCTATGGAAAAAACCAATAATACTTAAGCTACTGTTGTTGCCCTTAATTGAACTAGACTTTATTTGACCTAATTCACTACTCCTACAAATACGATCATGAAAAAGCAAACAGCAAATAAAAAGTAAAGTTCTTAGGCAATTATATTGAAACCTGTAAAAACTGTTAATTTCCTACAACATGAAGCAATCTGCAAGTAGAGCCAAATGTTCTAAGTGTTTCAAATAATAATTTTAAAGTGTTGTCATTAGAAAAAAAGTACAAACTTCTTATTATATCCAACATGAAATCTTTAGTAGCAAATGTAGCAGCAGCTATACATGAATATATGCATTCCATATACACAGATACACAGTCTTCCAACTATTTCTTGAATACCAAAGTAAATATTTAAAATCTGATATGCAGTATAAGAATATGATTATGCAAAACACATAAAAATGCAAATATATAAAATGCACATCTGTAAAATGTGTTTCACTCTCCTATCTAAGACTTGGCTGATAGCAAGCATTTCTGATCAGTCTCAGACATAAGGGAAGACTGAAGCAACTAAGCACAAGCTGCTGAGCATATCTCAGGGGTTTTATTTTATCAGCTTCAATGTTTTCTTTCTTTAACAGTACTCAACACACTAAAAAAAATTACCAAAAACAACCACACACTGAGTAAAAGTCACAGTCTGCATCATTTTCTAATCTTAACTTCATTTTTGCTTTGAAGATATCATAACACTACCAAAGCCACTTTCTTCCTTGGAAGTCTGAAAAATTTGAAAACTGCCCACCTGAATTTCAAATCCAAATGTTCCATTATCCTGCTTTTCCACAGTAACAAGCTTTCTGTAATAAAAATTTAAAAAAAAAAAAAAACTGCATGAAGATCAAAGTATCACATTTGGCACATAGTTATCATCAAAAATACCATCACAATTAAAAAGAGCTGACATTTATGTAAACTGTAGTATTATGATGTGTGTGTGTGTGTGTGTGTGTGTGTGTGTGTGTGTGTGTGTGTGTGTGTGTGTCTGAAAGAGAGAGAAAGAGTATGTGTGATCAACAGTCTGGAGAGCTGTGCTCCTAAATATCTTGGAGAGTGACCAAAAAATAAATGAATCTCTTTACCTTTGAGACCAGGAAAAGTCACTTAAAGAACTTGATCTGGTCAAAGCAAGCTGAAAAATACAAAAAGCATACGGTTATCTCAAGGTCCTTATGATACATTTGTAAACTGTTCTAAATCACAAAGGACTTGGTTCTTTATCACTTCTCCTGAGAAATTGTTTCTTAAATGGAGTAATTTACATTCTGGAGTGATAGCAATCTTTTAATCTTTTAAAAGATTAAAAGAGACTTGTACAGTAACACACTGTGGCAAAAGAGTTAATGTAATGTGGCAAAGCTATAAAGCTGCAAAAGAGAACTTCATTTCTGATCTGTGTTTAAAGCAGCCTCTGAAACATTAACTGCAACAATTTATAATCTCACTGAAATCGAAAAATAACATCCATAGAATAACATATAAAATCCAAATACCTGATAGTTTTTGGAGATATTAATGAAATGACTGTGTTTATTATAATAGTTCGATATGTTACTGTTTTTAGCAGGATAAAACAATCTCTAAAGAACCAACTCATATACAGGAACACAATTCAGGTGAAACCAGTGATTCAAAACTTCAATTCTGTTTATGATTTATTTTTGCAATTGTTTTAGAAGAGAGCAGTGAGATTTCCAGCCAAGAAAGAAAATGAATCTTAGAACATCATAGTATCACCTTCACTCCTCTGCACATTTTGGAAAACGTCATACAAATATAAGCTTTCAGGACACATTTTATCATTCTAAATAGTGGAAAAGTCAACAAAAGGTGGCACCTTATTTTGAGGGGATTGCAGCAAGTTCTTGTATGTTTGTTTGGGAAAAATTTAGTAAATGTTAATTAGTGCTTTCTCAAGTGTTGGTCCAAGGGCTTAAAACATAAGTTTATGCTACTAGCTAACCTGGTGTTTAACTGTCAACCTAATATGATTATTATACACAAGTAAATACATAAAATGCCAGGAGATCAAGGCACAATCAGTCCAGACAAATAAATAAAATACTGTATGTAGAGGATGAAAACCTGAGAAAAATATACAGAAGAAATGTATATGTATATGACAAGTTACACAAATGAAATACCCATGAAAGCATTCTTTAGAAAAGACACCTACATACTGTAGGGAATTTGAATTACTAGGTACCAAATGCCAGCAATCTCACAAATTTTCTGGAATGGCCCCATGAGAAGAATTCAGCCATTGGTCAGTAAAGTTAATGTAATGGAGAGGTGATCTCTTCCCACTATTTCATGTAAATTAGTTACATTTTCCTCTTTTGTCGGTTCTGGACCTTAACTCATTTATATCATCCCAAAGACTGAAATAGGAAGGCTCAGACCCAAAAACATTCACTATAATTGCTAAAAGTATCTATTTTTAATTTATAAGGACTAGCTGTGGAATGCCTACAACAATTCGCATTGTTTGTTACACCCTGATTTTGTACCTGATATCTACCATTAATAAAGATGAGGACCATACAGCTGTGCAGTAGGCTGCATTCTTGTGGAAGAGAGCAATAAACTTGATATTCCCAAGCATTCTCAGTCTCTCCCTTATATTGTCTTACATTTTCTTAATCTATTTTCATTGTCTTTATTGGCTTGTCATCAACCCTTAGTTCAGACTGTAAAGTGCTTAAGTAGGCCATATTTAATTATGTCATCTATAATCATAACTAGGGCTTTTATTTTAAAATATTACTCTTGCAATCAATATTCACCATATTATTCATATATTCATATATATTGGAACTATATATGTATACATATATGTATATATTTATGCAAAGTGCATACTAGACCAAATACGTGTCTTCTGTACAAAATCTTCCATGTGCTTAGGGCTTCTTGGAGAATGTATTTGTTTTACTCTCTACACCAGTGCCTAGTATGGGCCTGGAATAGAGTAGAAACTTAGGGGCTGGCCCGGTGGCGCACTGCTACAGTGTGCCGCTTGGGAGCGTGGTGGCGCTCCCGCCGAGGGTTCGGATCCCACATACAGACCGGTTCCCGCTCACTGGCTGAGTGAGGTGAGGGCGCAACACCGAGGGTTGCGATCCCGTTGCCGGTCCAGGTCCGGTACGGGCGCGACACTGAGGGTTGTGATCTGTTGCCGGACACGAAAAAAGACAAAAAAAAGGAAAAAAAAAAAAAGAGTGGAAACTTAAAAATAGAAAAATAGCCACATACAAATAAACTATTGGACAAGAAGGCAAGCAACTGAGTGCTCATAGGAGATCCAAGTTAAAATACTCAGGTTCAGGAGGGATATATTAAGATATTTTCAATTTTGTCCTTTATTAAATTAAATATTCATAAGAAAAACTCAAGGATAATCACTAAAAATAAAAATTTTAAAATCCCAAATATGTAGCAAGATTTAAAAATGAAAAAAAAATCCAGACAAATACAAAAAATAATCTCAATCCCAAAACAGCAAGCAGCATAGACAAAGGACTAACAGAAAACAAAGTAACATAGATATGCCTAAATATGTAACTATTAAATGAATGAATGTTGGCAAGAATTAATTAATTGTTAAAATTTTGCACCTTGAAAAATTTAAATGCCCTTTTACTAGGACAATAATCGTAGCATTGATAGTAGCATTAAGATTTCACACATCCTACATTTTAAATCAAAAATTATTCTGGATAGATTCAAATCTGAAATCTTTTAGGTCCACAAAACAGATCTAAGACCTCTATAGAGAAGGAAATCTCCCATCTCTTTCTTTCTAACCTTTTTATCTAGCTAAAATGAGTTAAAGATGAAAATATTTGCCTATCACAACATGAGATGCACAAAAGATGTTCAATTCCTGTGGACTAACTGATTTGGCAAAAAAATCATAGTAAGTCAAATTATAAATTAGTTTCCATTCTGTCTTAGCAAAGAGCCTGTCTTAGGCACCTAACAATTAAATAAAAAACTATTTAAATAAATTAAGCACCATCGGATTCTCTGACACGTGCCACATCTTGACACACAGCCTACTTATTTTTGATCTGGGCTTTCAGACTCAGGCAATGTGGAAAGGAATATTCTCAGGGTTCAACCTAGCTCACACACCAGCAATATGCCTAAGTGAAAGAAAGTATGTCTAAGGTCTTATCAACGGTCTCATACTTTGTAAAAAGTTTTCCCTGCACTCTTATGGCAAGCCACCCTATTCGAGGATCTGATCTGTGGAGTCTATGTTCTATAAACTGCCCTCCCAGCCATAGCTCTTCCTCAAGGTTGTAGTGCTGGCACCAAAAATCATGAATGAGAAACTGGTGTGCAATTCACAGCATATGCTGGCAACAGCTGTCTTTTATTACACATTATCTAATATGAGAAATCTAGGTTTAGCAATTTGGCAGGCTTGCAAACTACACATTCAATTATGACCGCTGACTAGACAAAGCTGCTTAACTCCTTGCTAGCCACAAATATAATGATGCCCAGAGCTGGGCTTATGATCGCTCTTCTGTATTCAGTCAGATGACTTAAAAGATCAGGCATAAATATTTAAAAAGTATTTCATCTGCTATGCAGTGATTCTACACATCCCTGTTTAGTGGGAAACCAAGATCAAATACTTCAGCTGTCAGTTTGCCCAAGATAGAGATAATCTCTAGCTCAGCCAGATAGCTAGCTAGCCACACAGAAGCTCAAAGGTCAACACTGTAGCCACTTCTGCTGCTAAGTTACAGACTGTACTTCCTGGTCCCCATTCTGTGTACTCATTTCCTGAAAGTGTGGGGATGGGAGAAGGGCAGAATACTGATTCACAGGTGAGGATTTTTGTTTTTGTTGTTTCAGAAGTCCCAAAATCATGTGCTCTGCTCCCTTGCCAGTCTCCTGCCTCACTCCCTAATTCTTCCCTTTTCTCCCCTCCCCTTTTCTCCCCTCCCCTCCCCACCCCCACTTTAAGTCAGGAGCATTAGGATAGCAAGGCTCTGTAGACTATACAGAGATACAATAAAACAATGCAGCTAAACTCAATTTCTTAATTTTTAAGTTGCCTTAAAGAAGCTAAACAGAATGTTGCAGTTTCCCAGGAAGTTCTGGTTATAGGCTCAAGGATGTCTTTTTTGAGAAAAATTGTTGGATATTGATTCTAAGCATGCTACAATACATAATACTTTTCAAATTCTTTCATAGTAAAATTAACAGTTTTCTACCTAAAAGTATCATTAGAGGATCAGTCTCTTGGTGCAGTTAGGAACACTTGGCAGTCATGGTAACCAATGGGTGTGCTTCCTCAAATACTGGGAAAGCTCTTGAAGGGCACCACCCATTCCAGAAATATACACATTACTAACATTAGCACAAATTCTTTATCTAAACTTGCAAGTGAAATCATGTTCCAGAAGTTGCCTATTTAGTAATAGTTTAATAACTAAAAGAAAATTAAGCAAAGACAGTTTGTGATACCACTAATGACAGTCAAGCTTGTCTATTTTTCAGGTCCCCAGTTCTCACTACAGCATTCAGTGAAAACTGCTTTCCAAAAGCAACCTACGACCATTGGGAGAGTGGGCAGTAAGGCACAATTGCTACCCTTTGCCATTACCACATTTATGAAGACTGTCTTTATTTCCTCCTGTCTCCTTCGTACAATTTTTTCCATTACAGGGATTTTTTTTTTCTAAAACTATATTCAGAAGTAGAAGCCTGGGATGTCTGACACCTCTGACCCAATAATAATATGCACATACAGAAATCTATTTTTATTGGGCTTTTTTTGCAGGGGGTGCTGGCCAGTACAGAAATTTGAACCCTTTGATCTTGGTTTTATAACACCATGCTCTAACCAACTGAGACAACTGGCCAGCCATATTTTTAAACAATTCTGAATGTAAAGACCCAATTGATTCTGAAAATTAATCTGAAACTCAGGCTAACCAGATACCGCTTTGCAGAAACTAAAGCCAACAATAACAAGAAGTATGAATTGTTGACGTCAGCCTGAAACTGTTGAAAATAACAGTAGGCAGAGAACACCTGCTCCATGTGGTTGCCTCAAAGGGATCTTTTTGCCTGCAATTCAGTTAGTGCCAAATGGATAATTATTCTCTAAAAACCAGTTAAAGGAAATGAACATCCATTTGGAAAGTTCTGAAATGTTGGGATAAGCTTGCGTCAAGTCTCACTGATGATAATTCTGTAGAATCAGAAGTATCATGTTGAAGAGGTTTTGTTTTACTTTTGTTTTCTAAAGCTATTCTCACAAAAGTAAGGAAAAGCTATTTGAATATGGGGAATCTACCATGTGAAAGAATATGAGGGAAGGGAGATAGAAGAGAAGACCTATAAAAGATGAGAACATATGCATAAATTAATCGGTATGGGGATGTGGGTGTATGTGTATGTGTATATGTGTATTATGTGCACACATGCACACATGTGCATTATCATCCTCTGGTAACCAGTGTCTCCTACTGATTGCCTTTTTTCAGTTCATGTATCTTCACTCAGGCTTCAAACTAGATCTGACTCCTCCATCTTCAGTGCTTTTCAAAGTCAAGTCTTTTAGTCCCCTCTCCATTCCCTCACTTCCTCTTTCTCCGACTGCTGCATAAGCTGCTTCCTCACTGCTAGTCTCTACTCACTTATCAACCCACCGTGCTTCTAAAATAAGGTTCCTAAAATCCTCTACTGCTCAAATACATTCAGTGGCTCCCTGTACTGGTCAGATTACTGCTTTCTTGGGGGAAGTTGTTCAAGTGTTCTGTAAAGCAGCCCAGCTCTGAGGTCTCCCCCGCTCTCACCTTCTCTAAACTCACCGGCTCCTCTTGACATACTTAATAATGTGCCTTTGCACAAACATGCCCTCGAGGCATGTGGATCTGTGCCTCAGCACTGACTATTCTCTTGCTCTGGAATACCCTTCAATATCTGGAATATCTATCCTTCAAGGTTGTATTCAAAAGTGTGTTACTTGGATGAGAGCATATATGTCATCTCACTTTGTATAAAGCCTATTTGTTCTGTCTATTGAATTGTAAATTCTATATGGGCAGGAAACTTGTCCTGCTAATCTTTGTACCTCCTACACTTAGCATGATGTCTTATGTAAACCTTGTAGGTACTCAAAAACTATCTATAGCATTAAAATTACTGGACAGAAGAGTAGATAAAATAAATGAGGCTGCAGGTAGGGAGGAAATAAGGAATGGAAAGTTCCCACCCTGATTCAAAAATTACCAACTATGTTTATCAGTAAGTATTCTATCAAAAGAATGAAATCACAGCCTACTCAAGTGAAGTATATTAAGTCTGATGGTTTCATGGCAAATATAGAGAAAGAAAAACTGACTGCTCTATATCCCGAAAACTGAATAATGAATATATCACATGTTGCTTTATTTTCAGACAGGTTGTAATTTGATAAAATATTCATCATGATATTGAATTTTACATCATAAAAGCACTTTGGGTTGAGAAAGAACAATAATCCAAATCATGGTAAATTATGCCCTTATCTTCATTGTGAAAAATACCAAGCAATCAGGTATGTACATCACTGAAAAAAGATTATGACTCTCCCACTATGCTATAACTTTCTAATCCCAAAATTAAAAGGCTTAAGAGAAGCACATGATATCCATGAAGTATTTAAGGGCAAAAATCCACACTCTAAAGCAATTCTAAATATTTTCCGTGCAAGTGCTGTATCCAAACTCAAATATATATGTGGGCATTATAGCAAGTTATATAAGCAAAACCTGAGGAGAGGTTATGGTTAAAAAATTTTGTAAACATCTTAGAAATTGAAGAACAAAGAAAAAAGTCAAAATAAGTTCAGTTGGACATTTTTGCAAACAAGTTTTCATCCCTATAGAAATGCTTTGCAATAGAAATTTTGAAATAGCATCATGTAGCCTTAATGAGCACGTACTACACATCAGTGACTGTGTTAGGCACTGCACATTTCCTTACCTAAGCAGTATAAATTCCAATAAGGGTGCTTCCATTATTATCTTTATTTTAGAAAAAAAAAAAGAAAACTGAAGCTTAGAGACACAGGCAACTTGCTCAACACCCCAGAGTTAATAAGCAGCTGAGCTGATGTTCAATCTGGCATTCGCCCATCCAAAAAAAGTCTTACTTCCCAATAGCATATACCAGTGCCCCAGAGCTGAAGATAATCAATTTAGTAAACAAAATTTGTCCTCAAAAAAATAAATTCTCATTTGATTATGAACTGAAGTGACTACCAAAAACTGGGAGCAGGATGGGAGAGAAAGAATCAATAGAGACATAAAGGGGAGAAAAATCAATAATTCTCATACTGGTTGTATCCATACAAACCATCTTCGAGTTTGCTATGCTTAAAGATTTTCATTTTACCTGAGCACCTCTTCAAATGAGAAAATCAATCATCTTTTAAGTTATGGCTTGAAAAAAAGCATTTGATTGTGTTCTCAAATCTTTGGACTGGTCCACTAGCTCTCCAGCATCTCACCTCCTTCCTCACTCATGCTCTCAGTCACTACTAATTCCAAAGCCTCTGGAATAACATTTTTAGTATGAAGTCAGACAAATATAGCACTTTGCCCTTAAGAGAACATGAATACTCTAAAGTTTCAAAATAGCCATCATACCTGCTTTCGTCCCCGGGGCAAAGTAGCCACGGTGTCTGCCAGCATTTGAATCCTCCTGTTATCGTCCATTGTAAGGCTGCCTGTGAGTGTGGGGTAAGAGCTATACACTGGACCAGCGCAGTAGTCCAACAAATTGCCATTGCTTCTCTGTTGCATGAGCCTTTGTAAAGACATCGTGAATAAAGATTACTCCAGCTAGCACATGGTTGAGTGGCTTTGCAGAATGGGGGAAGCTAAAAGTACAGCCTTCTGACAAGTAATCAAAAGTAGCAAAGCAGAAAGCCCATGTGACTTCTGTGGTTTGAGCTACTTGTTACACAAACCCTATCTCACAGTTCACTCCCATTTCTCAATGCTTTTTTTCTTTAAGCTCTTGGAAGAACCTCAAGCTAATTTTTACAATTAAAAAAAAAACTTTTTTTTTCCCCACAAACAGCTAGGACTCATATGCTTTCATGTTCTAGAGCAAGTTGTGTTCAAAACACCATCTTGCCATTTTTATTTTTAAGAAAAAAGAAAAACTTCCCCAAGTTCTACCATTCTCTTACTTAACAAATAGCAGTGCGATGCAAAAGTCAGGATGTACAGACATTCAATTCTTGTGAATATAAGCAAGAATGAGAGGTGCTGGTCATAATGTTCTCTCACAAAGTCCTTGTAATGTACTTTCCCTGAAGTACACCCGAGCTCATTAATGTTCATCAAAAAGACATTATATCTGCCTCTTGGGTTGTGAGCATTTGGCATTCTTCTGGTTGCCCTTCTACTACTCTGTCCCTACTAAAATTATCCATCATCTTTACAAAGTATAACGGGAAGGGAAAACCAGCACATTTAGGGCACAATGTTGGCCATATCTTAGACTGGACTTTGCTGCAGCATTAGCAAGTAGTCCCGGGAGAGGAATGGGGTGGACAGGAAGGTATCAGGAAAACCGAATTAGCACAAGAATATTGCCAGTTTGTCCCTGCAAGTGCATATAGGTCAAAGACATCATCACAAGTGCCCAAGATCATAGCTGCCTATTTTTTTATTTTTTTGACAGAGGTCAGGGGCAGATAAGTCATTTTTAAAGAAATGGCTTCATAGGAGGAGCAGGGGAGGCAAGCAGAAGGAAAAGTAAAAACAAAAGTCAAAAAGAAGTTTTATATAGCATAAAAAGTCAATCGTGCTTTAAAAAATCATTTTGAAAGTCAATATAGAATTTAAAAGAGCTAGATAATCACTGGACTGAAATGGAATGTGTGTGTACTGGAAGTCAAGGTGAATTCAGCTTAAGCAGAACTTGCCAAATGTAAATAGTGAAATTGTCTGAGTTAATAGTGCTTTAAAAGATGAAGCCAACTTAGAAAATCTTAAAACTCTATCATAATATGACTCATTACTACTGGAATTGGATTATGACATTGGCAAAATGATGTGTCCAACAACATACAAAGATTTAAGTGAGGGATAACAAACACATAGGTCTTCAGGGTCCAGGTGGGTAACGTAAATGTGTAAACAAAAGGAAGTGGTAAATACTTTAGCAACTAAAGAATACATCAATTATAAAGATATTCATGTGTGAGAGATATTTATATAAGGCATGTATGTATATCTATAATCATGCATTGATTGAGTACAGGGATACATTCTGAGAAATGCATAGTTCGGTGATTTTGTCATTGTGTGAACATCACAGAAGGTACTTACACAAGCCTAGATGGTATAGCCTGCTACACACTTAGTCATTATAATATTATAGGACCACTGTCATATATGTGGTCTGTCATTGACCAAAATGTCATTAATCAATGCGTGACTCTGTGTGTGTGTGTGTGTGTAATAGAAAAAGAGAGATTGATTTTAAAAACATCTGCAGGCTAAGAGGCATGTAACTTAAATCAACACTATTAATGGAGGTCAGCAGTCCACTATCCCCTAGGTATTTTATAAAGTTAGGTAAATATTTTTAACATTTCAAAATACTAAATGGAAATTATATATTTGCCTAACAGAAGGCCACATAACCAACTGATATATCAAGATTTATAGATGAGTACAAAAATTGTATCATTTCAGTCTGGTATACTGCTCTTCAGCTGATGTAAATTATAGGAATCTATCATTAAATTAAAAAATTAGAAAACAAATTTATTTTCTAAATTAAAATTAAATAATTTCTAAATTAAAATTAAAACTAAATAATTTAATTGCATAAATTAAATTTCATTTAATTTATGAAATGTGTTTAACAATTACAATCATTCAAACCTTTAAATCCACAGGTATTAAATCAAAGTCAAAGGCAGGTCTGGCATTCAACCAATACATTATGTGTATGGTCACACCTGTTAATTATATATTTATGATCTGGTTTATTTTTATAGGTCAGTTCCCTTTTCTGATTGTCAGGGCTTGTGTCATACCAGTTATTAAATATTTTGAATAACATCCTGATCAAAAGTGTCCTTTGTGATAAGATGTAGGAAAACACTGATATTTTAATGGGAACATGACTCCAAACATCAAACCCTTGACTTACAAAAGCGTTTTATCATTTATAACTTCTCTTTTCTTTAGGATTTACCTTAGGACAATTATAATAACCTGGACTCTCTTCTCCTTCAGCCTCTCCTCTCTTTTAGAGAGATGATTCTGAAAATAAAACTGATCAAGCTATCTATGTACTCAAAAAATGTCGAGTGCCTGACCAGCCACAAAATAAAGTAAACTAGAAAGAATCTCAGGTTTTTATCTGACTTCATTCTCTGAAATGTTATATCCTTTTTTTCAGATTTTTTTGAGACAACATATTATACTTAGATTGTAGTTAATTGTATGCAAGGCTGTTTCTCCACTAATGTCTAATTTCCTCTAATTTTCTTGAGAGCAAGGGCCATCTCTTATCTTTAAATTTCCACTTCACATCCTACATATAATAATTATTTAAGAATATTTGTTTTAGGGCCGGCCCGGTGGCGCACTG